ATACTCCGTATGTTTCTTACGATTAGTTAAGGATAACATGTCGAGCATAGAAGAGATTTGGTCCAATTGAGTTTTCTATTTTTTCTCCTAACGGGCTGCTATACCTTTTTATACTACGTATTAAATTAACGTTATAATCATGTTTGTTATCCAATCAATGAATTACACATCTGCATTTTATAACTTAGTTTTACTATTGAAACAATTTTTGAATATAAAAAACTAATTACATTGTCTTCTACATTTTTCGGGAACCTGACATTAACATCTATATATACTAAAAACAACGACGACATGCATATACTCTGTACTAAAAACTAAAGTCAATTAAAAGTAAAAACAATGAGGACGTATAGGTCCTTTACCATACACCTCTAAGGGCCTGTTTGGTAGCACAAAAATCGGTTGATTTGGCTGATTCTGTTAAATTTATGAAGTTGTGACTGAAGTGGCTGCATTGAATTGCCTGATTCTGCTGATTTAAGAAAAAATTATTTTAAAATATATTTTCTTAATAAAATAAAGAAAAATAATACGATAGTATGTAAAAATAGCTAAAATGATCATCTACAGTAACTTCATCCAATACAGACAGAAAAGTAACTTCAACCTTACTTTTTCCACTTATTACCCAATTCAGCGCGAAAGCAAAAATTACGTGTTTGGTGAAAAAGTTGGTTGATAAGTCTGATAAGCCAAAAAACAGTGTTGTCAAATGGCCACTAAGACCAGTTAGTTGCCAATATCATAATAAAAGTAAGGTTTTGGTTTAAATATGTTTTTAGTCCATGTTTTTCATCCCGAAATTTATGTTGATTTTCTTTGTAGTCCACGACTAATGATAACAACCTCCGTTTAACAACAAAACAACCCTGACTAATAGGATTCCTTTAATTCTTTGTCATGTCATTCAAAAAGTATTTTATTCTTTGTCATTTTTAAAAATGTGAATAATTAGTTCTATACTGTTTTAACTATCTCATTAGCCTAAAAAGAAATTATAAAATGATAAATGGAAATGTTTCTAGTAGATTTATGCAACCGGCAAAAAAATCCAAGTAGAGTTTTTCGGAGTTAATGATGGACTAAAACAAGGAAAATATTTTGCAGGGACCTAAAACAAAGTGCGTCATATTTGTAAGAACTAAAATCAGATTTAAACATAAAATTAAACTCATAATATAATGACTTATACTCCATCCGATATATATATCATAATAAACTAAGCTAGTTAGTTGCCAATATTTTTATGCTTGTATGTCGCATTATACTATTATTATCCCATATCATAATCAACTAAACTAGTTAGTTGTCAATTTTTTATGCTTGTATGTCGTATTATTTGCTCCATCAAATTTATTAGACGCTCTGGCCAACTTGATATGTGTGGCTGTCAGGGGCGGAACCAAGGGGATCAAGGTGGTCAGCCGACCCCGCTTAAATTTCAAAAACGTAGAGTTCTGAAATAACTTCGATTTGATATATTATGAGTCCCGTAACTCATTACGAGTAAAAAGTTATGGCTTTTGGAAAAATCAGCATCATCCTAACTTGAAATAAGCAAATTTTTACGTGTGACGTTCATTATATTCTTAAATTTAAAAATAAAACAATTTATTCAGTCATTAGTTGTGTGAACATTATGATACATTACATATATATATATCAATACATTAACTGAAAAAGGCTCATTAATCTCCATTTATCTCAACTACATATGAATCATTTAATTCAAGTAATGTATAATAACTACCCATCATTTTGATACTGTGTATGATTAAACCCCGACCCCCTAACACACTTTTCTGGCTCCGCCCCTGGTGGCTGTGGAAACTTTTCAATGATATTATAGTATTGTACCCGCTATTAAGTGTTGTAATTTTACTAATGTGCAGATTTTGTTTTGTAACTTACAAATCTACCCATTTTAATGATTTTTCAATAAGAAATTACACTTCCCGGCAACACATACCGGGAAACAGGTCACCGTGTATTGTAATTTTCCGCAAATAAACCTTTCAGGGAGACTTATTTATTAGTTAGAGGACCAAATGTGAAAGTGAGCAAAGCTACACAACTAAAAGCAAGCACAACAAAAAAATATAGATTAATTCTACAATGTTCCCATTTGGGTCTTTGTGTCCTTCCCCAGTACGCATTAGACCATGTGTCCATGTGTAATGGTGGAGAGTCCAAAATGTTAAAAATATACTACGCTCATTTAAAAACAGTATTTAGACTCATATATTTTTTTGCATTCCAGAACCGTCAATAAAATATACTCAACATATTTATTTACATATCAATTTAGTAATAAAAACATTAAAGAAATTGTTATCAGTAACTTTTTCCTTTTAATGTTTCACTTGAATAATTGTGAAATAAAAAATACACATTTTCGATTTAAAAATAAATAAATTTCATTAATTTTTTAACTTTTTCGTTTTAACAAAAGATTAACTTAGTTCAAGTAAAGTTTGATTATGGAATATTCAATTATTTGTGAAGGCTCCATGAATTAAAAAATTGTGTTTCATGTTTTTTTGCTCACGAAAACTTCAGATATTTTTTATTTTATTTCATATACTAGTATTACATATTGGTGTCATATGAAAGATCATAAATTTTTACAAAGTTGGAGAATAAATTAAAAAGTTACCAGAGTTAAAAAAATGGGATTATAATGATGCGGAGATAAGTCATCCCACTTTCTTCCTTCCCCTTTTCTTTTCTTTTTCATTTTCTCCCCCCGTCATATGACTCATATCACCCCTAAACTATTAAAAAGCATCAAAGTTGTAATAAATCTGAAATAAAAATAGAAACAATTAAAAAATAAGTATATAAATTGAAAAATATAAATATGAAACATAAGATTAATTTTAGACTTTATATTCATACATTATATCTATGTTTTTAGATTAGTATTTTATTTACGGTTTCATTTTTATTTTAATGTTTTGTTTTATGTTGTTATATTTTGTCAATTCATAGGTTTTGAATCAATACATATGAAATACAAAATAGAAATTTATAATACTTTAAAAATAATTCATAGAGCAAAAAATCGTAAAAGTTATAAAATCAGAAATATTTTGTATAATATGTTTTTTATCTAATAAAAAATAAAATAAATAGGAATAAATGTTAAAAATATATTGAAATATAGAACACAAATGTAAGAACACAACTAAAGCTCTTAATAAAAAATTCCCTTTTATATATATTGGGAAGGCTAAAGAAAAAAACCGTAAATTTGAACAAAACATAGCAAATGTTCTTGAATGATGATGTTGTTATTTACATCTCAATATAGGACTCATGTACACCTAGTTAGGATTAAAAAGTCCTATTTGAAAAGAAAACATATCTTAGAATTTTTAAACCTAAATATTTAATACTACGTATAACATAACATATGAAACACAAAATAAAATACATTCAAAAAACCAAATATAAAATATAAATAAAATAGAAAATGAAAAATGAAATTTAATGTAGAAAATGAAAGGGTAAAAAAATTAAGAGCATGTCAAAATATACATATATTATCTTTTAATCTTTTTAAAATTATTATACAGAGTATTCATATTTTAAATTAAGCAAGAAATTAAGGGACTGTTTACTAACGGAGATATTTTCCAATTTTCTATTTCTATTTTCAGTTCTCAAATTTTATGTTTTTATTTTCCTGTTTTTCTATCTCCAATTTTGAATTTTCATTTTTTAGTTTTCCATTTAGAAATCTGAAAATACGTTCATCAACGTTTTTCACCCAATTATCTGACCGACCAAAAAAACGAAAGTGCGATACCAGTTCGGAACCGAACCTAGTACAACCCAAGTAAGGTACCAGGTCCCACAAATAGGAAAGTCGGGATCAAAATTGGTGGTCCTAATCGATCTCAATGGTTAGTTTGATGAATTCTTTTCAGATTTCTCTATTGGTTGACAATCCAACGACTCTTTTAAAACTCTTCACTTTAAAACCGATTTCAAAAAACTGAGATCAAACCACTGGGTCATTGACCGGCCCGGATAGGGACCGTCGGGTCATTGACGCGACTAGTCTGGGACTACCTAGTTGTCGACCGGACCGAACATAGACCATCGCGTCATTGGGCGGACAAGATAGGGACCACTAGGTCGTTGATCGGATAAGACGAGACTGCTTGGTGGTTGACCGGACAAGATAGAGACCGCCAGATAGTTGACCAGACTAGACGCGGGCTGTCGAATCATTGATCAGGCCATATCAGATCGGAACTGTCGGGCCGTTGACCGGACCGAACAGGTACTGTGTGGTTGTGGATTGGACCGACCAGGGACCATCGAGTCATCAATCGGACCGGATAGGGACCGCTGGATCGTGGATCGGGATTGTCAGGTCATTGATCGGATCAGACAGGGATCACTGGGTTGTGGATCGGACCAGACAGGGACCATTGGGTCATCGACCAGACCGGACAGGGACCATCGGGTCATCGACCGGACCGGGACCGTTGGATCGTCGATTGACCAGACTGAGATTGCTCGGTCGTCAACCGGACTGATAGGGACCACCGGTTCAATACCAATCCAAACCGCCGAGACATTGACCGGATAAGATAGGAGTCGTCAGGTCGTTAGCCGAACCGGACGAGGACTTACGCCGGAGCGGGACCGTATCCACCACTAGGCGTAAGTATGGAAATTCATTGCAGCGGCACTGCAGCATCCGCGGTTTCCAAATTTGGAAAACTAGTAAAAGTCACTTCTCCATATTGGATGGGTGCATCTGGGTTTCCTATTTCGCATTTGGGCTATGCTGATGACTTACTAATTTTCTTGAATGGAGAGTCTAGATCCTTGTCTAATTTCAAGGAATATCTGGACAAATATCAGATAGCTTCTGGTCAGACAGTTAATTTTGATAAAAGTTCTTTTATATGTGGAAAGACAACTTCTGGAAGGCTCACAATTATAAAGGAAATATTAAACACGAGCCATGCTTCACTTCCTCTAAAATATCTAGGGGTGAACCTTCATAAAGGTATTAATAGATTTCACTATTGTGGCCCTATTATAAGGCAATTTGAAAGGAAGCTGACAAGTTGGAGGCAAAAGAACCTGTCACAAGGAGGGAGGTTAATTTTAATTCAACATGTTCTTAATGCCATGCCACTGCACATTCTGGCAGTTGATACACTTCCAAGAAAGGTCATTAGTATACTAAACAGTAAGATGACTAGCTTCTTTTGGGGGCATCTCATAATAAGAACAAATTTCACTGGCTAAAGTGGGATAAACTTTGTTTTCCTAAAGAAGAAGGAGGGTTGGGAATAAGATCTTTGACTGATATTGAGAAGGCTTTCACACTTAAGCTGTGGTGGAAATGGAAAACAGGAGACACCCTATGGACTGAGTTTATCAGAAACAGGTATGATAGAGGAGGGGATATGACTCCTAAAATTACGGATTCACCAATTTGGAGAAGAATTTGCTTTGTGCATGAGTATGCCTCCTCATTATGTACTGAAGATCCTTCTGGTTTGTTGACCTGGAATGAAGAGGTTAATGGTCAGTTTACGTTAAAGTCTGCATATATTGCAGTGAGAGACACAGGTCTGCGAACTTTCACTTATCAGCATATATGGAATACTTCTCAAGAATTGAAAATACAGCTTTTGCATTGGAAGGTGGTTAAACAAATCATACCTGTTAATGAACAACTGGCAAGATTTAATCTTGTAATTAACCCATCCAGATGCTCGTTGTGTAAAAAGGAAGAGGATAAGCTGGAGCACATTTTCCTGAAATGTGAAAGGATTAGGCCCATCTGGCAATACTTTATGGGAATTATGGGTATATTTTATCCTAATCCCATAGAAACCATTTCTCAAATGTTTCGCAAGTGGTGGTTCAAGGCAGGGACCAAAGACTTGGCAGATATTTTTAAGCATTGCCTACCTGGAATCATTTGCTGGCATGTTTGGAAAGTTTATGCTAATCAGATTTGAGGAGAGGGGGGAACAATCCCTAACGCTGACAGCATGATAAAATTAATTAAGGGGTATACAAACAAATGGGTTCAATGCTTGTCCTTAGGTAAGACTCAGATGAGGGATAACGTGTTAATGGAAGAACGCCTAATTCCAGTTGGATTTAAGCTGAAGAAGAATCCAGTTCAGATTATTAAATGGAAGAGAAGTAGAGGCAACTTTAAATTAAACACGGATGCGAGTTACTCATCTGTTAATTCGAAGGGCAGAGCTATACTCAGAGATTCCGGGGGAGGAATAGTAGCCGCGATAAGCTTTCCGATTGAAGCTACATCTGCTCTGGAGGCTGAACTGAAGACGGTGGCGGAGGCTTCGAAGTGGATGGTGCGGCACGGCTTTGACAGGTTTCAGGTGGAAACTGATTGTCTGATGCTGGTCGATTTATTGAAGCAAGATCAGGTTAGACGATGGAGGGATTTGGTTTTGGAAATTACACAGCTTGCAGATAGTAAAGGTCTAATTTTCGGACATACTATGAGGGAAGCCAACTGCACAGCTCATTACTTAGCTAAGGCTAATACGGGTATTGTTTCGATTTACTTGGGCCCAAATGAACTACCTATTGAAGCCCGCAGGGCCTATTACATGGATTATTACGGCATTCCGTCGTTGCGATTATAATTTAGTTAAGTGGATTTCATTTTTCATCCCGGTTGTTGTTTACTTTTTGTGTTGCTTCGGAGAGGTATAGGTTTGGTCCCCCTCTCGGTACTTGTATGTTGTTAGGTGAGATTTAATAAAACCTCGGTAAATGACCCTGACATTTACCCCACTGATTTTGGTGGTTGGCCTTCCGCGGTAAAAAAAAAGTCACTTCTCCAATTCATTAAGGAAAACAGATACATATCTCATTTTTTTTGTTTTGGAAAACGATTTGGTAAACACATTTCTCTGTTTTCCTTTCTCCAGTTTTCCAGCACTTTCCTTTGGTGAACACGTTTTCTATTTTCCTTTTTCATGTTTTCCAGTTTTTCAGAATACTGGAAAATATCTTTGGTAGTAAACAGACCCTAAATATATGAACCACATATGTTTAAACTTTATCTTTATTAAAAATTATTTATTTATTTATTTATTTATTTATTTATTTATTTATATATTTATATATTTATTTATTTATTTATTTTGAATGTATCCAAATTTTGAACCCTTTTTTAGAGTTGAGGGGGTTATTTGAGCAATTGGAACATGTTCAAAGACTTTTTGAGTTTTTAGTTTCCACTTTAGATGCACAGGTGGCTACTGCCTACGGGTGACTGGGTGTTTACTCATTAAAAATCAAATCTGAATCATTATTTACCGGTTCAAGATGCGAATGGATTTTTTAGTTCATCGCCCCATTCAAGCAAACACCACCAACAAGGATCTATTTGACATTTTGACTCTTTAGTGTTACTCCATTTCTTCATTTCAAACCTTCCAAAAGTATAGGACACATCCTGAGATTGAAGCTAAACATTCAAGGTAGGGAGAATCATGGGGAGCAAAATAGAGCCGCCTAATGAATTTGGAGGTCCCAATTTAAAATGTAAAATGAGGGTCCATATCAGTATAAAAATTTTAAAAAATACTAATCTAAATACATTTACTCTAATAAATTGAATCCTTATTAAATAATGTAATAAAAAACTCTAAAAGTCACTTAATACTTGATTTAAAGCAACACAACTCGTCACTCAAACACTTTGAGTAAAAGATGAATACAAGAGCTGACGATAAATTGAAATTATTTTATTTTTCTTCCTTATTAACTATATTTTACTTATTAGTATTAAAATATAATATTACTATATAATACTAATAAAATTTTAAAAAATTGAAGCCCCATAAATCGGGAGCAGTATTCTACATTACCTCTCATCTTTTAATCCAGTTGTCATTAAGGAGAGACTAGAGAATGGATGGTTGACCATCAAGATACACCCACCTTCCAGTGACACATCCTTTTCCCACAATATTGGTTGTGAAACTACAAATGGATAAATGAGAAATGGTAGAGGTACCAATTTTGGGGTACCCCATTTGTACCTCACTCATTGAGTGGTTCACAAAAATCTAACCAATATATTAATTACTTCATTTTAATGAAGTGTTTTTGTGAATCACAAACATAGGTAATATATACCGTACATCCGGCTGTACCATGCTCTAGGTACAGCCGGATTTTTTTGTAATTAAGTTCAATCTATAGGGTAAATGTTAGGTGCATGATCACTGCTGATTTTCTTTTTCCGCTGCGACTCTTACGTTGATTTTCCTTCCTTTTCATTGATCAGTGGCGGAGCCAAACATTTAGGGTTAAAGGGGCCGGTCCTTAACAATTTTACATTGCAGGGGTCAAAGTTTAAAATATCAACATACTTTCTAGAGATTAAAAGTATTTATACATAATATATTAGATTTTTTTTTCTTGCAGGGTCGTGGCCACCGCCAGCCCCTCCTTGTCTTCACCCTGTTGTTGATGGCTGCTGCATGCGACTTTATTCCTTTTCATTTTTTGTTTTCTCTTTCTTTTCGTTTTCGTTACTTTTGACTTTCTTTTCTTCCTTTTCACTTTTGTAACTTTTCAGTTTTCATTGCTTTTGTTGTTACCGAGTAATATTTTTTATCTAATTTTTATTCAATGCTTTTTCTTCTTTTTCTAATCAAAATTCTAATTTAATTTTTTTAGTTTATGCATTATAAAATATTTTAGGTATTAATGTTTTGTTCTTCTATTTCTAATTTTATAATAAATATTTGTTAGTTTAATATATATATATATATATATATATATATATATATTATGTGTTAATTATTAACATGAGTTTTGTATTATACTAAAATGAGTATAGTGTTAAATAAATGTGCATAAGTAAATATCATTAAAAAACTCGATTATATTCGTAATTCAAGAACAAAATACTATATGTTATTTTTAATTTAAAATTATGATATTACTCATTGTTAGTTAAATTATATATCAATTCTCATTTTGTAAGTTACATATGTTCATCTGATACTGATTTTATGCTCATTTTAAAATGTCATATTAATACATATTTCAAAATTTAAGTTTCATATTAGATTCGCAAAAGATTAGAGTTATTTTATGTACATGGGAGCAGTGATCATGATACCCTATTTCATGCTTCAGATACTCAATAGAAAAAGTTTGATATTCAATGAAAATGTTTTGATGCTCAACTAACAAAGATAAAGATTTTCATATCATTGATCATTTGGTAAGTTATGTATGCTTATTTGGTACTGATGTTATGTTCAATTTTTTTTGAAATAATGTTATGTTCATATTTAAATGTTATATCAATACATATTTCAAAAGTAACATATTACATTAGATTCAAGTAGGAGTTAATTACATATACGAGAGCACAAATCATGATACTCAAATGTATGTTTCTAATACTCAATAGATGCGATTTGTTGCTCAACAAAAATGTCTTGATGCTCGATCAACTAAAAAACTTATGATTTTCTTACTAATGCTCATTTTATAATTTTACGAATGCTCAATTAGTACACAATTGCATGCTTTTAATACTCAATAGAGAGGGTTTAATGCTCAATGAAAAATGTCTTCATGCTCAACTAACAAAGCTTATTATTTTCATATTAATGCTTATTTTGTTAGTTACATATGCTCAATCGTAATGATGTTATGCTCATTTTTAAAATGTCATATCAATGAATATTTCAAAAGTATCAGATTACATTAGATTAATATATGGAACTTCATACGAATTGATTGTAGATATAATTTAATAAGTTTCTATAAAAGAAAGTGAATTAGAAGATATGAAGCACAAATTATGATGCTCAATATTATTTAGACTCCTAATACTCAACAGAATAGGTTTAGTGCTAATTAAAAGCTCATTAATGTTCATTTAACAGAAACCGTTATTTTCATCTCAATATAGGAGGTTTGATGCTCAATGAAAATGTCGTGACGTCCAACTAACAAATCTTACGATTTTCATATTTGGAATTGTGCGCATTTTGAAAGTTGTGTATGCTCATTTGATACTAATATTATGCCCATTTTTAAAATGACATATCAATGCATATTTCAAAAGTACCATATTACATTAAATTTGCATATTGAAGTTTATAGAAGTTCATCATAGATATAATTTAATGAGTTTTTATAAAAGAAAAAGAAAGAAAAAGAAAGTGAATTACAAGATATGAAGGAGAGATCACGAAGCTCATTATTTGACTCTTAATACTCAGTAGAATCCGTCTGATGTTCATTAAAAGTGTATTAATGCTCATATAACGAAAACCGCGATTTTCACTGAAATTACGAAAATGCCACCAGTTTTTAGTTCTGATTTCAACTTTCTTTTAATAACATAGTGCTAATTATTAGATGCTTAATACTCATTAAATTTGGATTATTGCTCAATAACAATACATTAATGCTCATTTAGTACAAAACACGATTTTCACATTATTACAAAAATGTCACCGAATTATTTTGCTATTCCCCCCCTAGGCCTGTTATTGGGTCGGCTGTACGGTGCTCACCGTACAGCCGGTTGTACAATATACGTACTCACAAACATATGGGTACAAAATGAGGTACAAAATAGAGTAGTTTTAGTTATGTGTGTATAAAATATAGGCACCTAATTAGTGTACTATATACTTCAGTATCTACGCAGTTGTTCTCCTCAACCGTAGATATTGTTTGTATCTGAAATCACAGTCCAGCCAAGTACAAAACCGAACAGAGGAACATAAAACAAAAAATTTGAACAGACGACACCCGCGTTGTGCATTTCGCATTGCGACTCAATTGTACAGCGGAATTCGATGTTGGCTTACCGGAATCTATAGGAAAACGGGCGATTTTTCGGATCCGACCCGGCTGATATCACTACAGTAGCGGTGGCTGGATCTTTGGCCAAATAAAGTAAAGTAATTAAATTTGAATCAAATTAGGGTAAATGAGCTTCTTTCGTCTTCAGCTCACTCAAGTTAAAAGCTCTAACTTTCACTGTTTTTAATCCAGGGCTCTTCTTTGGTCAATTTTATTATTTTCCCGTAGGTTTTCTCCGTCTGGGCTTCCTTCTAGTAGTACTCTGCTGCTAAAAGGTGAGGTTTGTCTTTTCCTGAATCTTGTAATTGTCCATACATTTTCACCAGAAACCATTTTGCGTTCTTTACTCTTTTTCTTGAACAGTTTCTCCTATAATATGTCAATGATACGTGGATATAGATTAAAATACTCTGAAGTCTGAACAGAAGAGGGTAAGACCGCTTTCTGAATGGGGTTATGTTTGCTCCATCTATAAACTGGAATTTGGGCATTTTTATTTTATTTTCCTTATTCAAGTTGGAAACTGTTGAGTGGGTAATGTTGTATTGAAGTTGGAAAGAAGTGTTGTATTCCTTTCATTAGGATGTATGAATAGAGAACTCATCAATTGTAAGATTGCTTTCATCTGGCTGCTTTTCATCGAACTGTGTTACTCTCTTATACCAGAGCTTCTTTGTACTCAACTGGTAATACTTATATGGAGTAGTATTTATGAAATCTGAACTCTGAAGCAAACATTTTTGAAGTATTTTCATTTAAAGGTTGAGTCAAACCATTCATGCTTAGTATTATCGAGTGAGGCTATCCTAATGTAATCTTGAACTCTAACTGGGAGACAGTTTGGCAAGAGTTATTTGTCTCAAATTACTGAATCTTCTGTTTTTTTTCAAGCAAAAGGGTTTGGTAGTATATTTGTTTGACTAAATATGTCTAAGCTACATATTATATGCTTCCTTTCCAAATAGGCTTAATAAGTCTATTGTGCCTACCAA